TGCTGTCAAAATCCTCTTCATAACCGTTGCTTTTTCTCCCAGTGCTGTTAATGTAGGGAACAGCAGAGGTATGTGTGAGAGCAGTTCCTGGGACAGAGGTACAGTTTCAGGGATGTTGAGAAAGCTCTTACAAGGTGAGCCTGTTTCCTCCTCTGGCTGTTTATGCCAGTATCTCCTTCGTTATTTATGCTAACGTTTGAAAAAACCAGATAGCTCTTCTGGAGAGCAAAGCCCGCTGAACTGGAGACAGAGAAAACCTGAATAAACAAACATGTGCCACAGATTAGTAAGAACATCTGTAGGTTTTATATTGTTTTGAGAACACATACCACATAGTTTTCCATTTCTTATGCTTTTCTAGTTTCTCTCTTTCTTTCTGTCTCTCTGTTTTCTTCTTCCTTTAAAATATATTGCTAATAAAGGTTGGAGGTAGAAGGCACAGCTGGACTCTGCATGACATGCCACTGTTTAATTTCTAGCTCGGAGGATGAGAAGAAGAGTAGTTTTATTGTATCCTAGAAGAGAATAAAGCCACATGCAAATTCCAGCCGTGGACATCTGTTTCCTCTTTGTGTGAAAGAATTCTCATATTTGGAAGGGAATCCCAGTTCTGAAGGGGCTGATGAGTTGGGTTTTTTTTTCTTTTGGTTCTTTCCCCCCTTCTTTGCCACCCCTTCAGCATGCTCTCCTTGCTTCCTGGCTGCTGTGTTTCCTTCGGGATAATGTCAGCTTTCAATTTAGCATCAGATATTAAACAGGTCAATTTTGAGTTACTCTATAATGGTGTGTTGTAGTTACAAAGAGTATTATTAAGCTCCTCCCTAAATATCTTTTATTTAATTAAACAGTATTTGGTGGGAGAACTTTTGCTCTCTCACTGATCTTGCAGGTTGGTATTTTCTTTTAGAAGTGGAGATGTGTGTATCTGTTGCTCTGGCTGTGAAGTGCAAATATTTCTGGAAGTAACTCATTAAAAATAATCTTTTAAAATCCTTCTGTATCAGGGGAACTAAGTAGATCTGTAAAAATAAGAATCTGCAACACTCATTACATTGTTAGGCATCAGGTGTTAAGGACTACAGGGACCAGAGTAAATGATAATTTCACTAACCTATAAAACATTTTAAAATAATGATTTACAGCTGTCTGGGGGCTTTAAACTTTTTTTTTTTTGACTCTGTCGAACAAACAGCACAGTTATATAACATTAGGCCAGACACGAGAACTGGTACTCTCTGTCTGTTTTATACTAACGTCGAATGAGAGGTTGGTGGAGCTTGCCAGGGTTTCATATTTGCTGGCAGAAAGTTACCCACATGTGTGGACCACATTTTTATTGTTGCCTTAGCCTATTTCAGGCATAAATATTGCTGCCTGGCAGGGTGTGATTCCGTTCATTGCTGAAGAGCTTTTCTTCTAAAAAGCAAAACATGAAAAGGAATGAAATGCTGTAAATGATCAAATTAAGAAGTGTCCCCAGACTGCGAGATTTTGTCACGTCTGTCGTAGTAGAGGAATAAAGGGCAATAAGGCATCTAAAGGCTTTTGTATCGTTGTATGAATTGCCCTTGCACTACTATTTCTTTTTGCATATATTAATCTTACTTTTGGGTGTGGGCTGTTTAGTCTGGTCTCTTAGGGAAACATGGCTTGTGCAAACAGGGTGCGCACATGGATGCACAGCAGCCTGCACAGCCCTTGGACATGTTGGCCATGGAGATGTGGCAGGAAGGCAGAGGCTGCAAAGATAAATAGAAGTTCCTGTAAGTTTCTTGAAAATATGTATGTGAGGGGAGAATAAAGGCGATTAAGGGGTTTGAGGGGAGGCTTGCAATAGGAACTGAACTTTCAACAGGGGCTGTGGAGTAGACGTGGAGAGGAAATGTTTTGGAGGTCCCCTTTGTGGGAAGATTGCTGAACCCAGCTTGGAAATTATTTGACTGCAGAGAATCTGGTGACAAAAACCAAATCCGCAGGAAGCCAGACTCCCTTTCATTCCAGTACCCATGAAATTGCTTGTGTGGGTTTTTGTTTTTAAGTCAGGATGTTGTCAAACAGGCTCTAATGGACGACTGTAAGAAATGGAGGACATCTGATTAGGACCTCCTTAGTGCAGGCAAAGGTGCTTCCTGGTTTGTTGGGTTTTTGCAAGTTTTCAAACTCCAATGGAGTGTGACTTAGGAATGTTGAGGGCCCTTATCCTGCAGGCATCTCAGAGAGGAGGGAGCCCAGCGGCCGTGCAGATCCCACCAACATACATCCGAAATCTGCCCAGGCGTTTTGGAAGCCCGTGCATGGCAGCATCTCGTGGGGCACACGGGGAAGAGTGAAACCGGTAATCCCCATCCAGTTCTGGTCCCCACTGAGCACGACAGGGAAAGCAAACACCACTAACGCTGAAAGTCAAACAGCAGTTGTGAACAAATTTCCTCTTCGATTGAAATGCTTCTAGCTAGGAGATAGAAAGGGGTTTATGTCAAAAGCTTCCCTTGTTGTCTTATTAACAGCTGCATAATTTTGCCACTCATTCACTAGCATAAAAAAGCAAAACTTGGAGACTGTATTTGAAAGCTTGTTTTGTTTGGTGTACAGCTGGATGCAGAGCGTTTCCTTTTTTTTTTTTTAACAAATTTGAAGCAAATGTAGTGGGTATTGTTTCTTTTTTTCCCCCTATTTTTTGGCCTAGATAATAGAAGATTATGTTGCTGTTCATTTTACATTGCAAAGAAATCATGCCATTTAACTCCAATTCAACAATGATGCAGCAGCATGTGGAAATATGTATCTTCTCATAAATACATTACCACACATTACTGTCAGATAGCTAGACTTTTTCACCCAGTATTAAAAATGAAATTTAATTGCTACAGTAGAGTTTCAAGGCCCTGATAAATAAGAGCCATGTCTGACCTTTATTGTGGGGCTCTGCGATGCCACCAGGGATATTGCTCATTGTTCAAGATGACAAACTTCCTCTGAGATTTCAGTTTGTCAGCTCAATGTACAGCAGGGACATTGATTTCTTCTCACTGCCATTTCCTGCCTGAATAGATAACAAATTTTCTGTGGCAGGTGTCTGTCAAGCTTAGTTTTGCCTGGCAGATTAACTTAATAGACTCATTTATTAATCATTAGTTGCAACACAGTGAAGCAGACAATACTCTTTAACTCTTGTGATGTTGAATGGATGTACCATTTCAGATTCCTTTGTGTACTTGAATTTGGGTTTAATAAGCTGTTCATATCTCTGTAGTGAATGTTTTTAACCTGACATTACTCACATGATAAAGAGCAAAGATTTATATATTATTGTGACCCATATTGAGTGTCTATTACTTTTCATGGCAAAAGGTGCATAAGTGCTTTCTGAGACTAATAAAATGATGCACAAACTGCAAAATCAGTCTAAATAAGGAGGAAAACTGGCCCTATTTGCATTGTGTTTGGGGAAGGAAGGTAAAAGTGGGAGAAGAAAATAGATACTTGGAAGAAGATTTGAAACTGGAGCTGACTGGCTATCAAAGTGGTGGAGGTAACTGTAGAAGCATTTAGGAAGGGGCAAAGCAGACCTGCAGATACAGCTGTAGGGATTCTAGCACAGGCTAGTATTTTCAAAGGGAGCCCCTTCTCCAAGATGTCTTAAGATAGACTTGGGCTGGAGATAGCAAAGGCGGGGGTTGGTACAGAGGCGGATACTGGACAGGGCTTGTCAGAGTGGTGAAGGAGGAGGAAGAGCTGGAAGAACTTAGTGGAGAGACTGGAGGAGGAAGAAGTTATAAGGGAAGGCATCACCTTGGAAAGTGATGTCTCTCATTGCAAAGAATCACCCTGTTCACAGTGAAAAATGACTTATTACACGTTAGCCCTGCACAGCCTACAGAGCTGGTGGAGATGTGTATTTGCTTTTTTCCCCGTGTGTTAAGAGAGTTGGTCACAAGGCGTTTCTTGGGGCAGAATCTGTAAAGGAGTTTGAAATGCACAGGCGCTGCTGGAGAGACACAGCAGCAGGAACGAGCCTAGATAGAGATACAGGCTGTTGCTGGGCAGAAGAACCTCTTGTTATAGGTGATGAGAAGAGAACCACCAAGCTTCTCCCTTGGGTTGTGGTAGCTCTTTACAACCTGCTTTTGATTCTCAGTGGAGCTTGTTAATGTGAGATCACTGGGAGATGTTCAGGAAAGCTGATGCCCAACTGCAAAGCCCTGGTTGGAGCACAACTGTTTTCAGCTCAGCATTTGTGAGACTGTGTATGGCTGAAGATACTTTTTTGACAAGCTGTGTTCCTGGCCTTGGGAACGTGTTTCTTGAACCATCCTTATGGGTTTCTTGGCTGAGCGTCAAACCAAAAATGTCCCTGCACTAGATCACACTGCTTATTGCTCTTCTAGGCCACCCTGGTAACAGTGCATTAACCTCTCAGCAGGGAATGTGATAAACAAAGTAAAACTGCTTTAGTGAAACCAGTCATTTCATGGCAGCGTACATAAAGTGTCCGTAAAGATTTGTAAGTGTAATAAGCTGCAGTTCACTGAGTGAACAATAACTGTTCCTAATTTAGCCAGTTGAGGAACATGCCAACCTAATTTGCTTTTGTAACATTATGTTGTTGCGTTTTTTTTTTCTTTTCTCACCTCTCCAGATTCCTTTCTCTCTGGTACAGTTTCCCCTCTGGGAGTCCTTAAAGGTAAGTCCTCTTTAATGACAGAAATACAAGTTATACATTTTGCAAAGGCTTTCCATGGTAACTTATCTAACTTGATTACCACAGTTGTGGGCATGTCCAAGAATCAGTATGTACCAACCCACCTGTGCGTGTGAAGATCATTTGCCTGAATATCTGAAAAATAACAGGAAATGTCTAACCACTGATATGTGGCATGCAGTCTAAATTTTACTCCCCAACGTGCCAGAAATCGTACCTTCTGCTCTAGCTTTTTTTTAGTGATTTCTTTAAAGAGGAGGAGTGGGAACCATCTTGTGCTGTGTAATTTTATTTTATTTTTTTTTTTTTAGCATTTCACTCTGCAAGGTAACAGGAAATTGCGAATGTTACCGAAAAAATTGATCGAGCCTGGTTTTTTAGACAGGGAAAGACTCGCAGTGCGTCTCTGACAAGTTGTTTTGATTGGCTGTGTATACTTTATTTAAAGGTCATTTAAAGAAGGTGTCAATGGATGGTGTTTTAATAGTGCAGTCTTTCAGAATGATGTGCTGCTCTCCCACCAGCTGGTTGCTTTGTTTATCATGGACAGAGTCAGGGTCTAGGTTTTTGAGCACGGGGTTGGATTCAAAGATGTATAATTTCTCCGTCCCTCTGTTTTTCCTTTACTGCAAAAGATGAAGGAAAGGGTTTTTTCAGGTGCTTTGAGATCCTGGGTTGGAAGCACAGAAAATTATTGGAGATTGTTAAAAGCATTGTAGCAAAATACAATATTTATAAGAGAGGAGCTGGAGAGAGAGTAACTTTCTTCTTGTGATGGGTGCTGGACTTCTGAGCGAGATGGACACTGAGACCCAAACTGGGCAGAGGTACTGAAAGGGTGGGAAACTGGTGATGATCCTCCTCAGCCCTTACTGCTTCTGTTTAGGGAGGAGGACCAGTGTTCTCCTTGGTCCTTGGATGCTGGTTTGGGACAACAGCTTGTCCTCTGGCTGTATGTCAGTAGCTTGGGTTGTTCTGCGGAGACAAGCCCACAGTATGAACGTTTGCATCTAGAGGCTTCAGGGAGTCAAAACCAAAGGGAATTCCACAGGCGGGAGGAGCACGAAGGAGGAGCACGAAATACATCAAGAGCTTTCACAGAACTGAGTTGTGTTTCGTAGATGATTCTGTAGGTACTTCATGAACTTGGCCTGATGTGGTGTCTGGGTATCATCCCGTCGCACAGGGTAGCTTTGGCTGCCTTATTAGGAATCTGTTTCCCTGCCAGTGTCTAGGAATGGCTTTCTGTAAACTCCTTGGCTGTGATACTGGCCTGACCTGCTAATTGTTAGTGCAGCAGTTGTGTTTGGGAGCAAGAGGTGGCAGTGCTTAAAGAGAGAAAGTGCAGTGTTCTTGCCAAAACCACATAAAACAGCAACTTCGTGTAGGTTTTTGAGAATGTAAAGTTGTTTTAACTAATGTCCACGTATCTGTGACAATAAAATGTATTGTTTAGATTGCAGGCTTTAAAGAAGACAGTTTGAATTTAGCTAGCTACAGGAGTGAGTCACTTAGGAAGAGACATCATGTTTAATCTAAAAAGGTCAGTGCAGATCTGAAGAGAAACAAAACCGGGCCAGTTTGTTCCATGAACCCATTGCAATATATTCTTCTGACGATGGAACCAAAAGTAGAAAAATGCAAAAATCCATCTTGCATGCCCCAGTCACTTTGGCTCAGCACATCAAGAGAGCTCAAGGTTTGTCACATCAAAGCCAGGCACTGAAAGCAGAATAAGTTTTGTTTATCTGAATGAAGCTCTTAAAAAAAAAAATTGTCCTGACACTACAACAAAGGACAAAAATCATTATGTCCCATCAACAGGCTGGATGTGGCCGGTAGCATCAACAGTAGTATGATTCAGGCTAGGGCTTCTCACGGCTGCACGAAGGGAGCATGAAGAAGGGGTAAATGTGTAAAGGACAAGAGACAAAGGACACGAAGCCTGAACATAGAAGAGTTGTTGAGATCATGTCTGAGGGACTGTTCTGCGCTGTATTAAATGGATTATTTGAGAAAGTAAATGCAGGAGCGGTTGTGTACGATGTACGTGGACCATCTCACAGAGGAGAACAGGACGAGCGCTGTGGCTTTGTCATTTTTAAAACTGTTAGTACAACGTTACATAAGCTGATGGAAGATAGACTCAATCTTATAATTCCCTGAACAAACTAGTCACCATAGAAATGAGGAAAAATTATCTTTCCACTGTAAAGGACAGTTAGCAAGGCCCATGGAAGAAGTGAGTTTACTTTTTCTTCACATATGTGCTGGCTGCAGCCAGCAACACGGTGTTGAGCTTAAGAAGCCTAATAAAGGCTTGTCGTAGGTAGCAAATCGGGTGTTTCTATATCCCATTTTCTCTGTCTGCTTTGCTCCAAGCTGCTGTGGTTATTCCTTATGCTTCCTTCCAGTGGGCTGTAGCCATGTAGTTTACATGCAGTTTTCTTCTGTCTGTGAATGCAGACCAGCTGTCCTACGTGAGAGTATCTTGCATATCAGGGACTAAACTAAGTTAGAAGAAGAGAGCGCATTGTGTAGATTACTGAACTATAAGGTTACATATGCTATGGGTGCTGGCAAAGGGGGTATTGCATTAATTAGCAAGAAACAGATACTGCTTCAGATACAAGCCTCACTGCCGGTTATTCAGGTGAACGCACAATTTAGAAACAGTTTATAATAGACTCCTTTCTTAGTTCACAATGACTCAAGAAAAAACAGTAAAGAAATTATGGTGACTTTAGTAAAAAAGCCACACCTCCTCTTTTTTTTGGATGTAGATAGTATCCACTGCTGTGATGGATGCTTACTGTCCTTTCTCTTCCCAATTTGTCATTTTTCCATATTTTGTTTTAGGCCCAGATTATTGAATAAACCAAAGGGGAGAAGGAAACTGTGCTATGGTGTATTAGATTTCAGAGCAGACATCGTAATTCTCTACTAGGGTGAGTTAGTGTAGTGCTTCTCTGTCTTTTTAGCCCAAGCCTTACAGCTAAAACCATTTTGAATTCTCCTCAGAGTTCAGGAAAAGAAGGGGCATTGCAAATCTCATTCACTCTGTTACACCAACCCTTGGAGGAGCACCATGGCTGATTACCACTGTGGCAGTTTGATCAAATTTAGGTTCTTTTAGGTGGGGCTAATGCTTCTGATCCCGTCTCAAAGCCAGCTGGCCATGAAGAAAAGCAGCAGAACATAGATGTGATGTGTTTCACAAATGCCAGCCAAGCACACTGCCTTCTGTATTAGTTCAAGTTTTGGAATAACATTGTAAGATACAGTCCCCTTGTATGCTGCCCTGGAATTTCCAGGGTGCCTCTGTAACTTGCTTTGGAAATACTATATCTGTGTTCTTCATTGTGGGAATTTCAAATTACAGGCTGTGTATTTGGCATGAAATTGTTGTGGGTTATGGAGAGTCTTGCGCAGCTCTCGTGCTTTCACCCTGCTGCCAGGGCTGTGTAGTCTCCGCTCAGATGACTGTGGCACTGTGGAATTCATTCATTCTGTATTATCTTCTATTCTGTTCTGTTCAATTTATTCAGTACTTGTAATCGTCGGATCTGAGTACCTACCAACAGCACCTAAGTGATTTATCATCTGTTTCATGTTGTATTTTAATCTGTAGTTTTTCTGTTTTAGACCTAACTGAGAAAGAAAGACAACTTTAATTTCTGCTGTAGGGATATTGCAGAAACACGGAGCATCAGGGTTTTTTCAACAAAATAGAGTTTTAAAAAAACCCCCACAAAGTCAAGAGCCTCTGGTTGAGTCTAGCAACATCTTGTCAAAAACGACTGTTTCTTATGGCTGAGTGGAAACGGTCAGCTCCCTTGGAGAACAGTCCTGTGTGTAAGATAAACCCATCTCAGGTGAAATAAGACTCATTCCTCTTGGGTTTTATATTTCTGCATATTGGCTGTGCTTCAGAGCCTTTGAGAGTTACTGCAACACAGCTGTACATGGAGAATGCTCTCTTTATAGACCAAATGTATTGTATGTCTGCAGAAAAGGGTCTGGTAGCCAGTGAGGGGGGAAGAAACAGGCAGGACAGGAGGACATAGGTCTCAAATGAGTGGACTTGAAAAATAAGGGGTTTTTTGTTTGGTTGTTTCTTTTTTTTACGGAGGGAAAACAAGCCTACTCTCCTGGGAACCTTCTGTCTTTTTCATTAGACATGTCCGAATCTGAGATGAGACACTTGGACGTTGCTAAGACTATGTAACGTCAGGGTCAGGCTGACTTCTCCCTGCAGACTGCGTGCCAGCAAGTCCTGCTCTTGCACCTGCAGCTTCTCTGGGAGGGCTGGGACAGATGGTACTGGCCCAGGACCTGCAAAGACAGATAAAAATCTTGCACTGACCATGCTCAAGGTGATGTTGTGGCTCTTCTGGCATTTAGTGGAGCCAGGATTTTCCTCTTTGTCTCAGTGCTGGGCAAACCCTAAAGCTCTTAGACATTCTGCAGCTATAGTGAGCCCACATGTGGGGTTTTTTTGTCACTGGCTTTAGCAATAAGGTAATTTTCTTAAATCTGTAAGTCTCACAAATTAACAGGTATTTTATAAAGAGAGATAATTTGGTTGGACCTTTAGAGACAATAGCTAGAGACAGGGAGCTGAGATCATGGGGTTTTGTAATGACTATGGCGGCATGTGATAGTGGTGTAAGATGCTGAACAAGCAGAGGAATACTTTGGTGGCTTCAGGATAAGAGAATGGTTTGGAGAGTACACACAGTCATGTTTCCACCCTGTGAAATAAGCAGGACATCGTAATAAAGAGAACGGGGAGAGTCCAGCCACTCCCCTGTGAGGCTGAGCAGTATCAGAAGGTTGGTCAGAACAGAAGTTGCCCATGTTGTTCCTAGACTGTTTTCTGCCGACATGCTAGATAGCAGCCTTGGGATTGGGTTCACACTTCTGTAGGTCCTTTATTTTCTGTCCAGGTTCAGCTTCACCTCAGGCACAAGGCACTTGTG